TCTTTTCTTGGAATTTCTAAAATAGTGGGTACCAATTTTTAGTTTTCTAAGATGGTCAATAGGAACTCCTAGAGCTAGATCCTAAGACCCTAAGAAAAAACAAATGACCTAAAAAATGAGGTCAACAAATGGATATCACAAAACTTGGATAAAACTAAGGGATGAGTAGAAAACTGCTTTCAAGACCTGGTATGAATTATATGAGTGAATAGTCATGTCTTTTAGGCTATCCAATGCACCCAACATGTTCATGAGGTTGATGAATCAAGTGTTCCGGGCTAATATAAGGAAGTTCATAGTGGAGTACATCAATGATATTCTTGTATACAACAGATCCAAGGAAGTGCGCTTGCAGCACATGAGGAACGATCTTCGAGTTTTTGCGATAGAAAAAACTATATGCCCACCCAAAAGGAGTGTCACTTCTTGACATCACATGTATACTTTTGGATTATGTTGTGTCTGGTGTACACATTCAGATGGATCTTGCAAAGATTAAGGCAATTGTGAGCTAGATCCCCCCCCCCCCCCCTCCTTTACAAAGTGGAGATATTTTTGGGGTTGGCATCATTCTATAGGTGATTGATCGGGGGCTTCAGAATGCCTCCCCGGACATAAAACTTGAAAAGGGAGTTCTAGTGGACGAATGCAGGTCAGTACAGTTTCGATACCTTAAAGTAAAAGGTGACTCAGACACATATACTGGTATTATGGGTCTTCATCCAACGTTTCGTGGTGGAGTGTTACCCCTCCAATGTTGGATCAGAGTAGTATTGGGCCAATGAGGCCACGCATAGCATCCTTCAGCGAGAATATGAATGAGTTCAGAAGGAATTTTTTGACGTATGACATAGTTCTATGCTATCGAGAGAGTTTTTAGTCACTGGAGTCACTACTTGTTGATGAGCAGGTTCCGTTTGTTTATGGATCATGAGGCTTAGAGGTTCTTAAATAGCTAGAACAAGCTGAAAGACCGATATGCTTATTGGGTTAATTTCTTGGTGTCCTTCCAGCTCTTATGTTGGCTCGAGTCATAGAATTTGAGATGGTGAAGGAGTTGTATGGGACATATGATGATTTCAAAGAGATCTAGGTGCAGTGTCAAGAGAAGCCTATCTAGTATCACAGGGCTGAGGGATATCTGTTTCACCAGAATAGGTTGTGTATTTCTCAGTGTTTGTCGAGAGAGTCCATCATTTAGGAGAGCCAGAACAGACTTGCAGTACACATTGGTATAAACAAGGCTCTCACACTCGTGCATGAACATTGTTTGCCCCAAATGACAAAAATATGGAAAAGCACGTCAGACAATGCAGAATTTTTCATGTGGCCGAAACCAGAGGGCAAAATGCAGGAGTATAGACTCCATTACTAGTACCGGAGGATCCGTGGGTGGATATTAGCATGAATATTTTAGTGGGTCTTGTGTGGCACAACAAAACAAGGATTTTGTGATGATTGTGATGTATAAATTCTTAAAGATGGCTCATTTTGTACATTGCGAATAGAAGTTGGAGGCATCACTTGTAGCTAACTTGTACTTAAGGAAGTTCGTGAGATTACACCGGATACCGAGGACCATTATATCGGACAGAGATGTCAGGTTTTTTAGTTACTTATAGAGGACCCTATGAGGGAAGCTTGGCAATAAGCTTCAATTCAGATCAATAACACATCCACAAATAGACGGTCAGACTGATGTGGTGAAGAAGAGTCTAGGAACCTTCTGATTTGCTTTATAGGAAAAAAAATATATTAATCAATGGGACCTGATTCTAGCTCAGGCCAATTTTTCTTACAACAGTTTCGTGAGACAGACCATGGGATGCACCACATTTGAGATCTTGTATGGCCACATCCCACTCACTTTACTTAAATTTGTACCATTCCTTCCGATGTCAGAGATTAGTAGGAATGATATGGAGAGGGTGCAATCACCAAGTGTAACCGCAATACCAGACAGACAAATAAAACTAGGAAGAAATTTATTTTCCAAGAAGGAGATCTAGTTTAGATCAAGTTGAAGAAAAGAAAGGTTTCTGGTGGGTACCAGACAGACAAATAAAACTAGGAAGAAATTTATCTTCCAAGAAGGAGATCTAGTTTAGATCAAGTTAAAGAAAAGAAAGGTTTCTGGTGGGATCCCGACCCCCCCAAACAACCTTTCTTTCTTTCTTTTTTGTGCCGACAATCCTTCAATAAGCTCAAGCTCAGGACAAATGGATCTTTCAAGTTTCTCAAGATGCTGAATGACACTGTTTATAAGATCGACCTACCAGAGAACTATAATATTTCTGCTACTTTCAACATAGTAGATTTAACTCTGCGATACAAGGAATCAAAAGTTATGATAGATGAGGTCGATGCTTTCCCAATCTTTGGAGATAGATGAGGAGTGCTTCTACTCGCGCGATAGTTGCCACACGCCAGACCGGGCCGGCCTAGGCGGGAGAAGAACTGATTGATCCTAGGACCGACCGGTCCTTTCATATGCATGGTTCCCTCCTATTTGGACCCAAGCTCACTCCTTTTTACCCTAGGACCATATATGTTATTATTTGTGTTTTAAGGTAGTTTTTAGCTTAAGTTTTATGCTGTCGACATGTCTTCCCCTGCTAGGGCTGTATCTGAAGATAGGTGGTGTTTTGCCTTTATCTTGCTCCAAGGTGGTGATTATCTCCTCATATTTCTTCCCTTATTTTCTTCTTCTACCTGTTGCTGCCCTCCCTGCGTCTCTCCTATCTGCTGGCGCATGCTCCTTACACCTTCCTTGCTACTGTTGTCCCTTCCTACACTCTTCGTTCTTACTATCGTCACTTCCTGCACTACTCCAAGCATGATACCACCCTTCCCCGGTTCCCTTGCCGCTACTCAGCCTGCTGTCCCGCCGTTGGATAGCCCTAAAACCTTTGCTTCCCTAGCCACAAACATCTTCCGGACTTGCCGTAGCGGGGTATTTGTGTTTTTGTTGTGTTTTTCCTTTTTCAAGTATTGTTGATTGTAATGCTATTTACTTTTGCATAGTAATATTTGCTTACTCTATTTTGTTTTGGGGTTAACTCCAGTATCTTGTACTTTATTATCTTAGTTCATTTTTCTTTCTGATCTAAGGTTCTCGCAAAAATGGTGGCTTTGTTGATTCCTTTTTTCGATCTCTTGTATCATATTGAATATTTTAAGATGGAAAATTAAAAAAATCATGCATAGTAGTTATGATGTGATGAAGAATTTGAGATGAGGACGGCAATGATAATTTTAATGTTGACTTTTATTTTATTTGACAGGTCTTGGAATAGTTCTTATGGAAAATTTGATTGAGTAGGTTCATGGACAGATAAAATATAGTTCATTCTTGTCTTTCTTGGCATTCTTTTTAGCACCACTTCTCAATTGGATAAATTTCAACAAAGCTTGATTAGAAAATAGACTGATTGAAGCAAGAATAAGATTATTCTGAACGTCTATATCTTACCTAACCTTTCATAAAATTTCATTATCTGCTAAAAATTTTATGATATCCTTGGGCCTTTACCAAAATATTTTCCGCCTATTTTTTAAAAATAGAGCATGTAATTTGGATTTTAGGTGCTTAGCTTTCTGATGTGACACTTGAACTTCCTAAATTCATAACTTAATGGCAATAGTAAATATATTTGGATGATTATTCCTACAATAAATTCCACATTATCCCATCTTTATCTTTAAATTCAAAAAGTTTACCATAGCTTCGAGATGACCCATTCATTTCTTTTGTATGTATAATAAAAAAAAATTAGATCATGTACTTCAATAATGCTGAAATTTCTCATCTAAAATGAGATTTATATCCTTTGCAAACCATGCAATTTCTTGCAGATGCGTTAAATCATGAAAGTAGCTCCATTCCATAGCCCTCTATTTTGCCCACTTTCAACCTCTGTCCCTAACCTTCAACCACCCATAAATTAGAGTGGAATTTATCAATCCACCGCCCTTCTTACTCGCTTCTCTGATTCCCTCCCCTTTCTCTTGGTGTGATAGCCTAAACTTTCATCTTTTGGGGTAGGTAGGGGCTTTGGCTGGCCACGCCCCGGTTCATCATTCTCTTTAGTTCTCTTTCCTTTTCCTTGTTACAAATCTAGGATTTGTAAAGAAATTTGAATAGACCCATTGGTAATTCCGTCAATGAATAAATGCTAAATACGGTGATAAACATGGGATATTTTGATGAATTTTAAACAATCATGACCTATCAGCACCCAAAAGATTTTTTTACTTTCTTTTAGTAAAAATTTACGTTAAGTATCCCATTCTCTTGATCAAATTGTATGCCTGTTAAATACCAAATATTAAACATAATTATATTGTTTCTGTTTTGCTATTTGATGAGATTTTCCTATACTCTTCAAGAATTCTTTAGATGAATCACCCAAACAAACATATCAATTTATGACATCTGGCCTATTTTTTTATTTTTTTTTAAGCCTTTGTAAATTATTGTTTTGGTGTCCAAATGCTTAACTTATGAATTCATCTTTCTTGCTTGCTGTAATTGAATCTATCTCGTGCTATCTCTAGTGTATATCCATGTTTCTTTTCTCATCAACTTAATTAGGGTAGTTTATGTTTTCCATGTCCACACTCTCTTCCTTGGTTTTGACATCATTCAATGCAGTTTTATAGCCTTGGTACTTTTGGTCATGTCTATGGCCTTCCTTTCCTGTGAGTCACCTTTCCTTGAACCGGGTAGCTATGTCCTCTCGACTTCCTTAACACAACCTCTTTTTCAATTGTCTCCTTATCCATTACTTGAGCCTTTCATACCCTTTTTAAAATGGGCATTTAATGTATAAACTTATTTTTGTTGCTATTGCTTCTTCATTTGCTTTGCTTCTTGTCATGCAAAGAACTTCTCAATTTATGAAAGGCTACAATTTCTTTCTTATTTCTCTTTTTGATGTTTGCATTCTCTAATATCATTTGGAGTCATTAAGGAGAGAATTTCATTACAACTCAGGACACTATGTTCTGCATACATGGTATGGCTCAGTGAGTTCAATGGAGAACCCTTGCATCCAATTCCTTTCCTGGTAAATTTAAATTTTCACTTTCTTTTTTGAAGGTGAGTGTTGCTGGGATCCTCACAAAATATTGATTTATAAGATATTTTTATTCTATAATGTTTTTAGATTTTGTCCTGCGATATGTGAGGTGGCCTTCATTAGACACCTTATAGATCACTGCCAACATGACTTCCCATACATCTTGTGATCTGAAATATTGGTTCGCTTTAATACACCTATCTTGATTATTTGATATAAATTTGGGCTTTAAAATTTGTTGTTTATCATCAGTTTATTTTTTGTCATTTTCATAGAATTTAAATAAATATTTAGTCTAGCTCGATATGAACCAGAAAAAGGAAATCAAGGATTAGAATAGTAGGTAAAAGATTCACATTGAATTTTTTTCTCATTGTAGGGGACGCACCTTAGCGTACATATGTATGTGTGAATACATAATTTGTTTTTAAAATTCTGAAATGAATTGTGGGATTGTGCAAGCTATTTGAGGTTAAGTTTTTGTAACTTTTAAATAGATACAAGTCATTGTATATATAATAATGGCGGCTGCTAGGGTTCTCTTCCGCTCCGACATTTATGGCGATTTCTAGTTTCTTCGTGCGGGATCTGGCTGGTGAGCTCTTTTCACTCTTTGATTTTGCTGTTACTTTTGTTTTTTATGATGCCATCTGCCCCTCGTTCTTTTGTTGATGCGGTGTTAGAGGGAGGTGGTGGCCCTCAGGCCACACCAAACTCTGGTTTGTTTCCGCAAGGGTTCCATTATACACTTTCTGTGGGAGGGGATTACTCTTTCATTAAGAAGCTGAGAAAAAAAATGGGAAACTTGCAATGTTTATTATTGAGGTTGAAACTTTGATTCTTGTATCTTCTTGTCGTTTGACCCTTGTTGGTAAATTTATGTATGGTCATCCGAAGGTGGATCTGATTCAGAGAGAATTTGAAATGCTTAAACTTAAAGGCTGGTGGAAGGTAGGTATTATGGATGGTAGACGTATCTTTATACAGCTTGCCAATGACGAGGACTGTACTCGCCTCTTTGTGAAGAGGTTCTTGAGGATAGAAAATTGTATGATGAAATTTCTTAAATGGTCTGTCAATTTTGGCCCTAAATCTGAATTGCCCATCATTTCTGTTTGGATCCATTTTCCTGGGCTTAAATTACTTCGATTTAATCACGTGATACTTTTCTCTTTAGCGACAGCTTATGGTAAGCCATTGAAAATGGATAATGCTACTTATACACTTTCGAGACCATCTGCAACTCGCATTCTTGTAGAGGGACATAAATCAACCATTTTGCAATGATATTTGGATAGGTTCTCAGCATCAAGGCTATTGGCAACAAGTTGAAATCGAAAGACACTCTCCATATTGCACTCACTGCTCTATGTTTGGTCATCAAACTTCATTATGCTATAGATTGAATCCTCACCTTAAAAATTCTCTTGCCTCATACCCCATTAGTCCCCCTGAAAATCAAACTCACACTGATCATCAAGGTATAACTCCTAATACTGATAATGAAACTGATTTAGTGGTTACTCCATCATTGCAAAACACAAATTTAAATTTAGAAAATTTGGGAAATGAGTCTCAACACACATCTATTGATGTGCTTACTCAACAAGCTTTAACTGACAACTGCAATGCACTTAACGAGAATGAAACTATTGCTGAGCCTTTTGAAACATCTCTACCTAATGTCCCAACTACGACCACTCTTCTTTCTGAAAACAATCTGGCAAACTATGAGCATTCTCTCCCTTCCAGCTCGACTGTTGTTACTAATACTTCAATACAACTTGCTTCCAAAACTTTAGAAAACAAATCACAGGTTCAAAAACATTCAAGGAAAAAGGCTAAAAGAAATAATGAGCTCTCAAGTCTTAATGCTAGCAATATCATATAGGAAGGTATCTATTATTCAGATGGGGAACAGTTAGTCAATCCTACTAGATCTTTTAGAAGGGCTGGCCTACGTCATCATGTTTAACTTTCTGGTTTGGAATATTAGGGAAGTGGCTGACCCTTCCTCCCTTAATAAGCTCAAACATCTTTGTATAGTCCATAAACCTCACATTTTTGCTATTTTGGAGCCGCTGGTTCATATCAATAAAAACAGGATTCTGCATAAATTTAAAAGATTTCGTTCCCATTGCAACACCAATTATAAAATTTGGCTTTTTTGGAAGCATTTTGTTATTCTTTCTATACTTAAAGATGAGGAGCAATATGTTTTAACACAGATCAAAATTGATGATTTCCAAGTGTGGGGCACTTTTGTTTACGCTAGTTCTCAGTTGCAGGATAAATTTTTTGCTTTGGCAAAAATTTGAACTCATGGGAAATATTATTAATGAGAATTGGTTTGTAGGGGTAGACTTTAATATGATTATGAAGCCTATGGAGAGAAAAAGGGTGGTCGTTGTGATACTGCTCTCATTAATCGGTTTTCCAACTCACTTTCTAGTGCTGGCCATTATGACTTGGGCTATTTGGGCTCCCCATACACATGGAGGAGGGGTTTTCTTTATCAAAGGCTGGATCGTGATTTGGGCAACTTAGCCTTTTTAAATCATTGTACTATTGTTTGGGTTTAGCATTTCAGCTAGGCTACGTCTGACCATAATCCCATTTTGCTTACTTTGGCTTTTTCTGCTAAACGTAGCATAACTAAATTCAAATTTCTTAATTATGGACTTCTCATGACATTTTTTTAAATTTGGTGCAATAGGTTTAGCACTATGATGGTGCTGGGACTCCTTGGTTTGTTTTGTGGCAATTGCACAAAAAAATTGCTGCCAATCTCACAAAATGGAACTATCAGGTTTTTGGTAATGTCCATAAAAAAGTGCTGGATGCCAAGAATATTGTTGATTCTTTGGAGGCTCAACCTATTTGCTCTTCTGATTTGATGGAAATTGTTTCTCAAGCTCATCTTTCTTCAATGGATGCTATAGCTTTGGAAGAAAATTTTCTTCAGCAAAAAACAAATGATATGTCCTTTATTGAGAGGATAGAAACACAAACTACTTTCATGCCACATTAAAACATTGAAGAAACATTAATAGCATTTTGAAAATTAAAAATGGGAATGGGCAAGTATTAACTAGCATGGAAGAAATAGGAGAAAGTGTTGTTACTTATTTCACTGAGCTTTATCAATCCACTATACGTGTTACTCCTGTGGATCCTACTGTCTTTGTTGATGATCACACTTACATTAATAGCCTCCATTTAACATATCCTCCTGATGAACAGAGATTACTTGCTGCTCTTAAGTTTATCCGCCCTAACAAAGCCCCTGACCCTGATGGTTTCTCCTCTTCCTTCTACACTGATTCTTGGGATATAATTAAGGAGGTAATTCTTGTTGTTCAAAGTTTCTTTCTTTGGGATAATCTAGGTAACTACTTCAGCTCTGCTTTGATTGTATTCATACCTAAAGGTAATGATAAGATTTCCTGGGATAATTTTTGACCTGTTTCTCTTACTACCGTTATTTCTAAAGTCATGAGTAAGAGTCATGAGTAAGATTATTGTGAATAGATTGCAGTCCCATCTCTCTTCTATTATCACTCTTCAACAATCTGCTTATGTTAAAGGTAGGGATATCACTGATAATATCCTCTTAGCCTAGGAAATGATTAAAGAACAGACAAAAATTGCAGAGGGGGCAACATAGTTTTTAAATTGGACATCAAAAAAGTTTGACACAATTAGCTGGGATTTCATTATTAACATTTTGCAGGCTAAAGACTTCCATAAGGAATTTTGCTTACTCATTAAAAATGGTTATCTAATAACCATTATAGTGTGATGGTAAATGGTAAAGCTCATGGTTTTTTTTTTCCAAAAAGGGGCATTAAACAAGAAGATCCACCATCTCCCACTATCTTTATTATTGCTTTTGATTCTTTCTAGGCTTATTAATAAGTTGCATCTTGAGCACCCACATATTCAATACTCACACAAATATAAGATTGTGGTGAGTTATATTGCTTATGCTGACGATGCTATCTTTTTCTCCAATGCTAGCAAGAGAGCTATTAAAGCTACTATGTCTCTTTTAAGGGACTTTCAAAGCACATCTGGGTTAACTTTTAATCTGGCTAAATGCTCCATTTATTTAGGGAAAAGTGTTCAATCTCATATTCAAACATGGGCCTCCACTTACACTGGTTGTAAAATTTCCAAACTTGCTATTAAATACCTAGGGGTGAATATTCCTAGAGGAAGAAAAAAACAAACCCAAATGGATGATGTGATTGATAAAGTTAAACTCAAGATAAATGATTGGAGAAATACATTTTTGTCTAATGGTGGCACTCACTTTTGTTGAAAAGTGTTCTTTGTACCCTTCCACTCTATGCTATGTAGGTATTTAAAACCAAGAAGAGTACACAAAAAACACTTGAGGCTATTTTCAACAAATTTCTTTGGAAAGGTACTAGATCCTCCAAAATTTGGACCAATTGGAAGTACAATAGTAGACCACTTTCTTCTAGAGGGCTTGGCTTTAAAACACTGCAACAGATTATAGACATCAACATGTGCAAACTTTGGCTCAAATTTAGAATGGGGGACTTTTTATGGGCCCATTTTATGTACCAAAAGTATTGTAAATCCTTTCACCCTTCCACTGTTACATAAAAGGTAAGAGATTCTAAACTTTGGAACGCCATTATTTCTGCCTGGGATGTGGCTTCACATTTTATGTATTGGGATGTCGGAAATGGTAGCATTTCCCTCTGGCATGATGAATGGGGGCTTTCCACTCACACTACTTGCTGAATAATTTAACTGATACTAATCTGCTGGTATATGATTGTTGGACTGATGGTAACTGGAACTTATCTAAATTAACTTCTTTAGTTGGTGAGTTGGCTCCTATTGCCACTATTCGTATTAGAGAGCAAGATAAGGATGTCCCTTTATGGAAGTTTCAGGGTAGAACCTTGGTTACTAAAATGCTATATTCTCATTTACATACTTTCACTCACTGG